CTTTATAGATAGTCCCCGAGTGAGAGTTTGCTCAAACTTGGGTTAAGATAGCCCTTGGGCTTTTATGATCGAGTGAGGACTTGCTCGAACTCGAAGTGAAGTTAGCCCTTAGGCTTTATAGATAGTCCCCGAGTGAGAGTTTGCTCAAACTTGGGTTAAGATAGCCCTTGGGCTTTTATGATCGAGTGAGGATTTGCTCGAACTGTGAAGTTAGCCCTGAGGTTTTATAGATAGTCCCCGAGTGAGAGTTTGCTCAAACTCGGGTTAAGATAGCCCTTGGGCTTTTATGATCGAGCTAGGACTTGCTCGAACTCGAAGTAAAGTTAGCCCTTAGGATTTATAGATAGTCCCCGAGTGAGAGTTGGCCGTCTCTGATCGAGCTAGGACTTTGTTATGGATTTTGGACGTCTCTGATCCGCGTTAATTTGGCCATAGCCTCTTTAGTTCGGAACCTGCCCTTTGGGCTTATTTTCACTTCGAGCTTGCCCGAAGTGTCAGTCCCTGTGGCCTGTAAAATCGAGGGTCGCCTATAAGGTCTTATGGTCTTGAAATTTTAGTAGTTCGTATTCGTTTGTTTTTCGGACGGCACTCCTCAAGCGTGGGGTTAGTTGTTCGAACTTCCATCATGATCGGCCCTTAAACCTGTTTACACAATAGATCAAGAGTATGAAGTAGGAAAGTTTTCTAAAGGCACGAGATATCGGCAAGGAAAAATACTTCTTTCAATATATGATTATACATGCGTGCATGTTTGATGTCATGGCTCGAGTAACCTATATGGGCACGGTTCATTTGACCGTTTGACCCTTACAACATTTTCATGTCGAGAAGCAATTTCCTTGCAACAAAGTAGACATTCGAGGTAATGCCCCCCAGTACTCGAGGCTTATTATAGGGAACCTCAGATACTGTTGAATTACTCTAAGTTAGCACGAACAATGGTTACCTCGTTAAAATCCTCGCCGGAAAACCCATTTGGGACAAAAATCGGTCTAAGGGAAAAATAGTGCAATGCGTGCTTTAAGATCCAAAGGTTCGTACCGATCCTTGTCAGTAGCCTGAAAGTGTTAGTCAAAAAAATAGAAAGAATTGGAACGGGGTCATACATTCATTCGGATTTTGGATATTTAACGTGATCTCCCTCAGTATCAAGTCCCCATGAACTTTGACCTCGATCACTTCTCCTCTTATTTCATGCGAAGCTTCGCCTAAACCCGCTGCTTCTACGGTCTCCGTTGTACGGTTGATATCAATCTCTATTCGACCTTGGCTCTTGATCGATGTCCCTTTTGATCCTATCCATGGGCCTGTTAGGATAAACGAACCCGGAAGGGGTCCCTAGTTGATCATCCTCGACCCTGATCTTCGACTGATTTCGATTATGTACGTCGGCCCAAGTGACAGCCGGGTACTCGATCAAACTTTACTTCAACTGTTGTGAAGCTATGGAACTCTGTTCGTTGAGATCTTGAGTGAAGGCTTGAACAGCCCAATCGTCGGTGACCGGTGGCAGATCCATCCGTTCCATTTGAAATAGAGATGTAAATTCCCTGAGCATCTTGTTGTCTTTTTGCCTTACCTTGAATAGGTCTAACTTTCTAGTTGCAACCGTAATGGCTCCAGCGTGTGCCTTTACAAAGGAATTTGCAAGCATAACAAATGAATCAAAAGAATTAGGTGGTAGATTATGGTACCATACCATGGCACCCTTTGATAGAGTTTCTCCGGATTTCTTCAGCAACACGGATTCAATCTCGTCATCTTCCAAGTCACTTCCCTTAATGGTGCACATATAAGAAGTAACACGCTCATTAGGGTCAGTGGTCCCATTGTATTTGGGAATTTCTAGCATGCAGGATTTCTTCGGGATGGGCTTCGGAGCCGCACTTGGAGGGAAAGGCTTCTGCACGAGCTTCTTCGAATCCAAACCCTTTAGAATCGGTGGTACCCCTGATATTTGGTCAACTCGGGAGTTGTATGTTTCTACCTTTTTATCACTCGCCTCGATTTTCTTTTCTCCTGATTCAATCCATTTAGTGAGCTCCTCGAGCATTTTCATAATTGCCGGGTCAGTCCCCGAGACATTGGCGTTCGATCTCTCCGGTATAGGTTCGGCCCTACGAATAACTTCTGGTTCGGGTTCTGGTTCGATCCTACTTCGTGCTCGATGCTGATTTTGTAGTTGCGCTATAATGGCTTGCTGAGCCTATAGCATTTCAAATATCAATTGGAGGCTGACTCCATCGTCTTCTCCGCCCTGCATACCTTGACCATCTGATCGAACTTCTCTGCGTATGCTACCTTTGGAATCAACACCCAGATTTGCATTTAGGGCGACATGTGAACTGACATCGATGGGATCTACAATTGGTACTCCCTCGAGGCCAGCCTGAGGCACTTCGATCCCTAGGGCGGCTACATTGTCGTTTTCTCCATGAAAACAGAGGTCGTTGTCAGCGTGAGTGGGTACTGCTTGCGAGTTTGACATGTTGATCCTGAAATCAAAAACACTCACAAGAACAAGCGTAAGGTAGTGTGTGTTATGAGAATTAATACCAGACAATCACTATTATCCTTATCCCCACGGTGGGCGCCAAACTGTTTACCCTAAAAATTGGATAATAATTAAACTTATAATGTGGTTTTAAGTATACGTAATTTCACCTAATACCGATTGATAAATATGGAGATTAGTAATAGAAATTAATAATAAGATAAAGCAAACCAGTGTTGCAACGTGATTCAATCCTCGAGCTAGAGTGCCCTTGAACTGGTTAACGCCAAAATAGTTAAGAAATAAGCAAGCTGATGAACAAGAATATAAGCTAAAGAGAAAGTGCTATAATGTTTTGATACGTGAGAACAACATGTCTTACAAATGATTAGAACCCCCTTTATATAGTAGAGGAATTCTACTTAAGATACATTTCTACATATAGAAGGAAATCCCATGATTGGCTGAACAACCAGTCTTGACTTGATTCGTGCCGAGATTCTCGCCACGATCCTTGGCCGATCCCGGATATCTCGATTTTTTGTTACTCGACTTAGCTTCGATCTCTATCTTATTCGGTCTCGATCTTGGTCGACCTCGAGCTTAATCAGTCCTAGGGTCTCAATAACTTAAGAGAAATTTTCATAAAGCACCATCTTTTGGTAGTAATTAGCCATCTATAGATACCATTTGCTATATTACAAATTATAGATACCTTTTGTGTGGTTATAAGATGTATTTGATATATTTAAGCTATTGTATTCATGAATACAATAACAAAAATAGCCGTGAATCTAGGAAGTCCAACTAATGAGTTGTTGTGTTCGAGTGTATTCGACTGTATTCATGGAGTGAAACATGGGATTACAGCTGGACAGATTATTGTATTCAACTTTATTCGACTGTATTCATGGAGTGAAACATGGGATTACAGCTGGACAGATTATTGTATTCAACTTTATTCGACTGTATTCACGACGTGAAATAGGGGATTACATTGTTTTTAAAACGGAAAGTGAATCAATTAACATAATAGACTCCTAATATAACTCAACAAACTCAATTATAACACACAAAATTTGTATTTTCAGTCATAAAGAAGATTCTCAACCAAAAAATACCCCAAAAACATAGCAATCTTCAGAGAAATTATATAATACGTCTAAATACATAAATTATATTAACTAAAAAAATATATGAATATATTCATGGCATATAGCGAGACAGTGAATATAATGAAATACATATAATACAGCGGGATACATTGAAATACAATGAAAAAAACAGTGAATACAATGAAATACATGGAATACAACGAGATAAATTGAATTACAATGAAAAATAAGACAATGAATACAATAAAATGCATGAAAAATACATTGAAATATATTAACAGAAAATCAAGTTGCTCAGCCCCAAATTCCGTCGTCTTTGTTCAAGAACAAACCCTAATTTCCGGCGAATCCGCCATTCACCGGAAGCCGGTAGTGAAAACACGACCCAATGGAGATTGTGGAGAGTGTGAGGATGGGTTGCTATTAACCACGAAATCAAGGAAAACATTGTTTGGTTGCCAGTGTTACAAATAAAACACGACCCAAATTCTTATTGCACAATTTGAGAACTAAGAAATCGATTCAGAATGATGGGTTGCTATTAACCACGAAAATCAAGGAAAACATTGTTTGGTTGCCGGTGTTCGACTGCTGAAGACATAACGTGGATAGTGGTTGCCGGTGTTCGATTGAGAAATACTGGCGTTGAGAGAGAGAGGGGGTGGAGAAAAATCTGAAAGAATGAGAGAGAAAAATAATACAAAGAGTATTTTATGGCTTAAGAGTTGGAGGTAACCATAAATACATATTTGGCTATAAAAATCAAAAGGTATCTATAGAATATAATTTTTTAAAAGGGTATTTATTTAAATAAATAAGGTATTAACCTTTGCTATAGGAAGTAAAAATTCTATAACGTAACCCCGCGCCATAGATAAAAGTCGAGGTCCAAACTTAATCTGCCACGTTCCAGCCTTGGTTAGTCGAACAAAAAGGGGCATCCCGATTTTGACCGTATATAATTTTAACATATCAAGATTATATTATTACTCCTTTTATGCGGGTAAATGGGTATTCTTCAGTAAGGGTGGTAAATGGGGAAGGGTAAATGATCATAGGAGATGTGGGAGAGTGGTGAGATGGCATGCCACGTGGCGTCTACCTCACCCAAATATCAAACCACGTGGATTTTTATTAGTAATACAAATATTTTTTATTACTTTGCTAACGCTAAGGGTAAATTTAGATAGATGGTAGGACGTAGGATAAACATGAACTATTTTTAATAGTACAAGGATAAATTACCCTTATCCCAAATTTATTTCAAAATTGGCTAACACACGTACCTAAATATAAGATAAATACAATCACTATCTTCTATTTGGGGATTAGTATATCCTTACCCCGATCACCAAACGACCCTAAAGGTAATTATGTCAATGAAATACTCGCATTTTATCTCTTGCAACCAAACGACTCCTTAGCCAAACAACTTACGCAAGTTTCCTCTCCTTTCCTTCCCTCACAAACCAAACGACACCAGTCCAACCAATTCATCCTCCCGCTTTCCTGAGCAGTGGCTTCTTCTTCACCAAGCAAATTCCAAATTTAACACCAAGCAAATTCCAAAAGAAAAATCCCCCCTTTTCCCCCACTTCCCATGGGAACATCTTGATTAGGAAGATAAAAGAAGAATTGATAGTCAATGGCCGCCATTTCCACATGCTTCTTCACAGTGAGACCCACCAAGACTCAATCCATCGCATTCCCTCGAAAACCCTCTTGCTTTATTCTAAAACCTTCCAGAATACACTCTGGGTCTTTCAGCAAAAACCTGATTTTAAGGCATAATAGGAGGAGGAGTTCATCAGTTCATTGTAGTGTTGATGTTGAGGTTAAGGCTGGAGGGATTGTGGAGAGTGATAAGCTGCCGTCAGATGTACGGAAAAGGGCAATGGACGCAGTGGATTCATTGGGAAAGAGGGTTACAGTTGGGGATGTTGCTAGTAAAGCTGGCCTTCAGTTGTCTCAAGCTCAGAAAGCTCTCCAAGCTCTCGCTACTGATACTAATGGCTTCTTGGAGGTGATATTTTCTATCTTTTTTTTTTGCCCGACCCCTACTTCTCGCTGTGTTGTTGTGTTGTGTTTGACTAGTGAATATTATTTATTTTTAATTTGTAAAATCAATTGCTTAGTTTGTGAAAATTATTGGGGGTTTTCGTCAATTGATTGTTCGTGTTATTGTATTGTGTTTATTTGAAGTGACTGCAACTTCAATTGCTTTCTGTTCCACTTTCAGAAACTTGACTTTTAACTACGCAATTTCCTTTTGTCAAATCTCAACCTCCACGCTGTTCTGTTGAAAATAACTGAACCTCTCCAGAACGTGACCGGATTTCTTACTACTCAATGGAGATATCATACATGTGTTAATGTAAGTGGTTACTGGACAGTATGGAAGATCCAAGAGATGGTAAAACTGAAAGAATACTACTAAAGTTGCCAAATTTGGATATATTATAAACTTAAATAGCATAAAAGTTCCGGCAAGTATTCTGAGTGCCATGTTATCCCTTTACAATGAGTTTCCTATACCCTCCAAATTCAACCTGTTGGGCACTGGTAGTCCTTATATTTATTTACTACGGATGATTCAAATAAATGATAGACCTGAAAGAGCAGTAATAAAATCACTTAATATACAGTCAAACCTATCTATAACAACCGCGTTTGTTTCAATATTTTTTGGATGCTATAGTGAAGTGATGTTATAAAGGACATATGTTGTATCATAACATAAAAGTTTGGTTCCGAGAAAACTTGACTTTTATAGTGAATGATATAGAGAGGTTTGACTGTATTTGTATTATAAATTAACAAATGGCATTGAAGGTTCTTAAACTATTTTAGGATGTGCATCATAAAAACAGTGAGTTCCACCTCTCAGGTCCTTCAAGTTCTACTTGTTTAGTGCCTATGGTCATCACATTGAATATCAGCCAAAAGAACCTCTAAAAGTAAAATCTCTAGCTCAAGTGGCTTAGTTAATTTTTTTCGGTTAGATATTATTTTTGATAAGGATAGGGAACAATGAAAAGAGAAATAAATGCATCACTTATTTTCCTCTACATTTTCTTTCTTTTAATTTGTGAAGATTTTGATTGATCTTCTGCTAAAATATCATAATTTCCATTGTGTGAGCCAGATATTTGACTTTCTGAAGGTTGATTGAACCAGAAATTTATATTAGGATATTAATGCCAAGCAATTAGATTTGGAGGACGTAATGGTCAGATATAATTTTTTTAAGGGTGTCACTGCATTTTTATGAATAGTCAAGGACCTTTGTTGCCATTAGCACATTTTACCCATGAAGCTTAAATTGGCAACAAGGTGAAGTTTTCGTTAGTTTGATTAAATCAACCTTTTAGAGAAAATAGAAAAGGTTAACACGAAGGATATTAACGATATGCTTAAGAGTGATGGACATTGGTAACTGTAAAGTTCACAACATCCAACGCAAGGTTAATATATGATGTGTCTGTTGACAATTTTGTTCAAGACTCTATTAGATTTTTATGGGCGAGTCCTCTAAATTTTTGTAGAATATAATTTACAAATTGAAATTTTTACTTCTTTCTTTTGGAAGTTAATCACCCTTTAATGGATGACTTGAAGAGCAATGCATCTAGTCCACATCTTGATTGTTTATTGATGGCTAATTTGTTTTTGGCAGGTGTCAGATGAAGGTGATGTCCTTTATGTATTTCCTAAGGATTATCGTTCAAATCTCACCGCTAAATCATTTAGGATGAAGGTTGAGCCTTTCCTGGAGAAAGCAAAGGTATTAATCCTTTTTTATTGTTGATTTCGGTGCGTGTTATTTGAATAGGTTTACCCATAATAGTTCTCTTCTGAGTGAGTCTCGATACTTTGCAGCTTGCAGGTGAATACTTAGTGAGGGTTTCCTTTGGTACAGCATTAATTGCTTCAATTGTCATTGTCTATACAACCATAATTGCTATCCTCTCTAGTAGAAGGTATCCGGAGACATACCAAACGTCTTGAAATCATTTTCTGCCTACTTTTGCTTGAAATACTTATTTTTCTAAAATCATCGTTTTTTCCTTTCTAATGGGCTATTTGTCTCTGACATTTGCTTTCTTTACAGTGAAGAAGACAACCGGGGAAGACGAGGCAGATCTTATGACAGTGGTTTCACATTTTACTTAAGTCCAACTGATTTATTCTGGTAATTATAATTTGAGCATTATTTTGGAAGAAGCAAGGTGGCTCGGTGCAGTTTTTTTTGCACTTGTTTTGCTTTTTGAAGTTTATAAAGGGACTCACTTATGGGCTCCTCTGAACATTAGCTTTTTTATTTTCCTGATAACCGATCAATCCCCGAAGAGCAGTGGAGCATGGTGTGGATGATGGGCCCACCCCTCTATCCTTCTCTTTCTTAAATACTAGACTTTCGTCTGCAACAAGGTTTGGATCCATGACATGTGCCTAACCCACACATCGTGCTCTTACGACTAGACCATGGGGGCTGGCCTCCTTTGAGCATTCATGTCCTTGTACTTTCAACTGATTCCAAGGTTTTTTTGTTATGTTTATATAAGTTGTAACAGAATGAGATCACCTATTTAGGGAAATTTAGTGTTTTCTTTTCCTTTATTCAGTATTAACTTATTACCCCTCCTGAGTGAACCTTATTTGTAGGATTTATTTTCCTTATTGTTGGTGTTGTCCAGCTTGGTTTATACTTCTTAGTTTTTACAACAGATCCGTCCAGAAAATGAGAAAACAAATGGCCCTGTTGTTGACTCCTTTACTAGTAGCTATGAGCCACCACCTCTGCTGCTTGAGATCTACTAGTTTCATCACTGACTTTTGTTTCTTCCCATAAGCTTGCTTTGATAGATTGAATCCCTCTATTGCTCTCTTTCATGTACTGTTTTGAGACCCCCAGTCTGCTTTCATTCTCATGACAATGAGGTGTTTGAGTTCTTTACTGTCAGCTAGGATATATTATGGACAGACAGCTAGGAGGGGGTGGGGGGAAGCAATTTTTTGGTGGCAGCAGCATTGGTCATGGTCTGGCTAAGAGCTGGCACCATTGTTCGAAGGCTAGTGGGTTTTATGAGGGATGAGAAAAAGTAGTTAGGCCCAGATGCTGCTTAGTGGTCTGTCCTAGTGGTACAACTGAATCAATTTTACTTTGTCTTGATGATTTTTAGCAGGGTGTTGGTGGCCTATACGGTCACAAAAATAACAAGATATAGTTTTTTTTTCTTCCAACAAATGGATGTAAAACACGCACTCAAAAAAGATACAGATCAACTGCAATTTTTTCATACAGAACCATCTCAAATAACATGTCCTAGTTTAATTCCTTGTTATTTTATCAGTTTTCGAGCTGTGAAGATCAAGTGACTATTGATCTTCAAAAAGCATGTTATATGTTGTGAACGCCCTGAGTCCAGTCCCTGCTCCTTGTCCTTCTCGAGGCAAGCAAAGGGAAGAACTAGGGCCAACTGGGTGTCAATGGTTGTGTGGAACACGTTGTGCCATTTCTCTCTTGGCTTCTTAGTATCTGCTTGAGTGGCGTTTCACCTCCCCGTATTCGTTTTAGTCTCAAACCTAAGCAATTAAACTACAAATTACAATCCTGCATTGAGGGAGGTGAGCTTAGAATAAACCAACCTTGAGTTGCACCCAAGGGTGTGACCTAGTGGTTAGTAAAGTGGATTGAGAACCATGAGGTCTTAGGTTCAAATCCGTTGCATGGAAACAAAAGGACTAGATGATTTCTTCCCATTTGCTCAAGCTTTGGTGGACAGAGTTACCCGTTACCTGTGCTGGTTGGAGGTAGCAGGTACTTTGTGGAACTAGTCGGGTGCATGCAAGTTGACCCGGACACTACGGTTATTTAAAAAAATAATAATAAACCAACCTTGAGTTCAAGTACTTCAGATTAACTGTTCCTTCGAGTTGGGCAAGACCCCATGCTGATGGTTGAGGCAGAAACATAAGTAAGATGAGTAGAATTGTTTTTTTTTTTTTTTTTTTTTTTTTTTTTTTTTTTAGAATGGTAAAATTTTATAAAAAAAACAGCACAAAGATTGTGCAGTTAGAAGTGACAAATATACATGCTCCAAGAAAAAACAAAAAAAAGATAAGAATCCCCCCTACAACAAAAAATTTACAGGGAGTCTACGATGTCAAGTATTGATTCAGTATTCACATATCATACACAGGGCATTCTTTACAGCAAAAAAGAAAAAGTTGTAAACAGTTCATTTTTATTATCTGAATGGAGTTCCTTTCTCCTCAAAACATCTGGGTTCCTTCCATTCCAGACTATCCACCAAATACAGCCTGGGATCATCTGCCACCATTTCTTCTTCCTAACACCACCCCGATATCTCAAGTGGTCAGTTGTATCATTTGGCATGATCTAATTCATTCTGACTATACTCAGAAACAAGTTCCACAATTGAGTTAACCCAAATAAAAGGAGCTCTATTCATTTGAAAAAGTAACAGTTGTAGCACTAAGACAGTTTTATCTTTTCCTTTTTTCTTGATCGATTGGTAACCATGTCAGCGAGCCTAATTTCCTAAAAGTACTCTAAGGTATTGCATGCAAGAACTTTTAGTGCTTAACTGTTTAGAAAAAATATAGTTATTTCTCACATTTTAATGTTCTAACCTAGCAAGTGTGATACATGTTCAATGGAATAACTTGATAGTGACCCGCATATGAGTGAGCATGATGCTTTTTCCATTTTGAAATATTATGTAGCATGGTTAGAAGCTTCATTATAGAACTGGGCACCTTTCTAATCTACTAAGTTTCTTTTAGGTATTGGGATCCATACTATTATAGGAGACGACGAGTTCGCGAAGAAAGTGGTGGGATGAACTTCATTGAATCTGTATGTGTTAAAGGCATTGGAGCAGAGCTTTTATATTTGCATCTGATTCTGACATGTCTAACAGTTGTTGCTCAATTTGTAGGTTTTCTCCTTTGTATTTGGTGATGGTGATCCAAATCAAGAGATTGAAGAGGAGAGGTGGAAGTTGGTAATAATTGAGCACTGAATTTAGCGGTCCGTTGCTTTTTTTTGTTCCTTTTCTTATTTCTGCGGTGGGGGTGGCTTGGGCATGTGAATAATGGGAGAGGAACTGGAAAAGGATGGCCTTTGGTGGAATTAGAATCTTACACATGTTGGATAGAGTTGCAACCACTAAGCTACAACTCCAAGCCCAGTGGTCTATTATTTTCAATATTTCATTGCTGACACTGTGATTACTTGTCTGCTTTTATGTTTTCCTCTTTTCTTCTTCCTGCTTCTGGTAACTCCTTGCCTGCTTTTTGGTTAATCTCTACCATCTTAAAATGACGTGAGATATTAAGATGTTCTAGTTAAATTGTTTTGCATAACAACGTTTTTTTCCACAATCACTTGTTTTATTTTTGTTGTTTCTGTACAGCATCATCTTTTTGCACTTACAAATTTTTTGCCTATCTAGCTACCTTATCAAAAAAAAAAAAAAAAAACTTGT